ATTATTACTATTGGTATTTGCTGCAAAAGCATAGTGCACTTGGTCTTTTTGAAACCCCTATTTTTTTGAACAATGATTATTAGGGCATGCATTTTATTTCTTAAAAGATAAAAAAAAGACTTTAAAAATATGATTTGATGCACTAAGAATATTACAAAATGTTGTTAAGTGTCCTAAGAAAATACATATACTTAAAAATGGTTTTTAAAATTATGTTWAAAAAAATTACTAATAAAAAATCTATTTGCGTTATTTAATTATAAGTAATCTAGTAATTTAGTAATGGTGGTTGATGTGAGTCGTAAACATAACTACCTATCTATATTATGTACGAGAATATAACATATTTACCGATGAAAACGTCGTTGAATATACCACTGTGCGTCCGCCACCGTTTTTGTCTAGTAACCGTATACATGATATTATAATTATAATACGATGAAGTATATTAAGCACATAAATATTATATCTATTTAATTAGTGAAGTAGGTACCTAGTTTATGACAATTTTATATCAAATATTATCGATTTTAATACAAAATATTTACTCAGTTTAAAAACTGAAAAAATGCTCCAAACACAGCAAAAGTTAGTAATGCAAAGTTTTATTTTGTAAGTCGTTTGATCTATTTGACGAATTTTGAACTTGGAAATAAATTTTTTAGGATATTTAGAGAAAACTGTGATTTGTATTTAATTTTACGCCTAATGCCTAAATATGCGATTATAGAACGGTGAATTCGGGACTCGAGTTAAGTGCGCTGTAGGTACTTCGCAACTCGCGTATGGTCGAACCCGATTCGATGGATTCCTTTCTCCGTTGTTACTCATCTGCCCTATAGTGGTTTAATGTTCAATTATGCGCTGGTACGCATGTGCGTCTGTCCATACCCACGTGACGTATGAAGTATCGCTGGTATGTACGACATACCACGTTCCCTTACACCCTTACTTATACAACACGTCATGTTATAATAGGTACCACCAAGCTTTATGTCAAAGGCCATTTATAATATTATGTCTTGTCGATGAAGACCTTTCTCACTCCCCTCCTCAATGTTGACTAATATCCTCAACGTTATGTGCGAGCATGGACCGTTAAGTTGTTTATTTTTTAAACCGTCAATATGCATATGTGTGCTATGTAGCGGCCAGGTGATATTATAAGTATAACATACAATAATATTATCGTTGCAGCCGCCAATCTTCTAACCAAAATTTAGTTTAATTTAGACATAGATACAATTCATGTAATTTTTTTTTCTCTTTATATATATTTCTCACTTTAAACCCAATGGCCCATGTTGCCGAGGGTATCATTAATAAAAAAAAAAAAAAAAAAAAAATATTATCGTTGCATCTCTCTCATAGGTTAAGTTTGTCCAGCATGTTGTCACTTAAAATTAATAAGCTGTTATTTCACTTTATTTCATTATTTGTATACGTCATATCGCATAAATCGTCTTACTATATTTTTATGGATGTTTCGCGATATATGCCATTAGGCAAAGTTCAATTTAAATGCATTTTTAATGGTAATTAATATACAGTAAAAAATGTATAATGTATTAATTATTTGTATATACTCACAAGCGATGCATTTGGGATTTTGATTTTTTTCTTTGTTGTTYGGCTTAGTAGCATGACGGCAGGAATGAGTTTCCACTTTGACTGCAGCCTAGAAATAACAATATTATTATTACGAATTATTGGAGTTTCTTTTTTTTTGTTTAATGATATGATATGCTCGTTGATTTGTTTTTGTTCAGAAAATATGTAAGTAACAGATAGGAATTATAATAATAAGTACGTATGCATATCTGACAGAAAAGAAATTATAGTTTATTTGTATTTTGAACGTATTTTAGATTCTGAATGGAACGAGGAATGTATTGATTTTACAATGATGTGTGTGTATTTTTTTTGTATTTGTCATCACGTTTTGGGGGCAKTAAAAGTGCTTCGATTTTCGACTTCAGTACCTCATTTGATCAGAAAATAAAACTAGTTGGCACTTCGGGGGAGTCAAAAGTAAAAAATTGTTTTCTTAATTATTGGGATAAACAAACTAAAAATTAAGGAAAAAACGGTAATTTTTACACACAATCGATTTTCGACAAGATCGTTTTGGTTTTTGATGTTACTTTAAAAAAATGACCATATAAGGCTTCCTATATATTGTTTCAATAGCAGTTGTAAAATAAAAGGAATACATAGTCCCATATGTAAAAATCACGAAATTCACAAATTATTTTAAGCTAGAAATTCATAAAAAATTTTCTTTTTAAATCTAAGATTTCAAAATTTAATACAAGAYTCCTTACAAGTTTTTCAATCTTTATCACAAATAAAAAGTCCACCGGAAATTCAAATTAAATTTTTAAGAGCATTT